GCGGATCAAGTGGATCAAGCGGATCAAATATGGCGCGTGCCTAAAGTGTACAGTTGCGAAATCATATTGCTCACGTGGTTTCTAACTTTGTAGGACCTACTTTCATTCATCGTAATGGCGCGCTTCTTCGATGTGCTTACCCGCGAGTGCTTCGACAAGTTTTCAGTGAACTTTGAATGACTTTAAAAGCCATTTCTGGTTAAGCTCTTTTGATGAAGACGCACTTTGACGAGAATGCATAAGAACTAAGCAAGTTTGCCTCATACAACGGCAAAGCGTATAATTTCGAGAATTTCTTATAGTCTGCTACAGTTTTTGAAGGTATTGTGCTTGTGTAATGCGGAAGTGTATTGCGTATAAATAGGAGTCCTAAGAGGGGTAAGTCAAACATTTTCACAAGTTGTGATAATGAACTTCCTACAGTGCATGGTTGCTTTTGTCTTCACCATTCAGTGAGTTTTTAAAAGTATTTAGTGAGATTTGTCAAAATAGCAAGTAGCGTCAGTAGCAATTTCAAAAATCGTTACATATTAGATACTAAATCTCCTATAGCTATGTGCCATAGGAGATTTAGAATCTAATGCTATTACAACTTCTTTGTTTTTTCGAAACTAAAAATGTAATTTTAGGGTTTGCGCAGCTTTTCTCATTGGAGCTGCTCCTGCTGTCCCTGTCTTGCCTGCTCCTGTAGTTGCTCCTGCAGTTGCTCCTGCAGTTGCTGCACCTGCGATACCAGCTATTGTAAGCTAAAAACCATGAATATAGCTGAAAATTTCAAAAACGAAATTACAGCCCGCAGTGCATACCGGTCTTCCTGTTGAAGTTCGAAATACCATGCTTACTTCCGATAGAGGTAATCGATTTCAATTGCAAAGAAAACGAAATCACTTTACTTTTCAGAAACTGGACACTTTTCCGGAACCCTGCACCGCTCATCAGACTTTGGATTCCCATTTGCTAAGAAAAGCTAAACTCATTGTGAATTAGAAATTGACAATCATTTTTGCTTTGTAGCCTGGTAATAAAGAAGTTAAAAATTAATTTTGAATTAGAATACACTTGGTCAGGTGATTTGGTTAATTTCAAGGCAAAAGCTTTGACTATGTTAACATTACGAATTCCGTTTGCAGAGAACTTGCGCGGAATGAAAATGCTAGTGTAATAATCAGCACCCATTGAGACTAAAAGAGTGAAACTGCTCGTCCCTATTCGTCGTTCCGCAAAAAAGTCACCAAAACCTCGCAAGCTTTGAAGAACAAAGATTACGAGACGCTTGTACTTCACGACGAATAAGAACAATAGTATTAGCAGAGTTTATCCTTTTTCGGTAAGATATATGTGTAAAAGCTTTTTCTCCTTTCTAAGTAACGACTGCTCGTTTTACCAACTCCACTGAAACACACTTATACAATGCAGATTAAGCTGTTCTCACGTACCAGCTTCTCTGTCCCAACCGTAGCAAACAACAGCCGAAAAAAAAAACGATGATTCGCTTTATGGTTGCCATGCGAGCGTCCCGTCAACCTACTTAATAGCTATGTGTTCCGCGAGGCGAACACTGTACAAATGCAGTGGAACCAACGGAAAAAAAAACGTCCGCATTCGAGCCGTATCCTTCTGGAAATATCCACTAGGCTACCCTTGTGTAAACAATCTTAGATTTTTCAAAGCGAAAACTTGAAGTTAGAATGGGAGTAATTTATTCCTTGCAAGCATCGACGTTTCGAATCCAATATCGTTACCGCTCAAGCAGGGGCTAAAACGCGACTTATTAGACACCCAG